GCCATCTTTCATTGACTTGCAATACGGTACACATCTCGTTCTCCTACATGTACCCAAATTTTTTTTAAAACTCCTATATATGTGCTTGCTTCTCCTCCTCTGCGGTTTTGCTATGTGCTTTGCTTGTTGATTCATTAGCGGTCTTGCTTCAAATTCGACTTATTCCTTTGCCTTATGCCTTGTACGCCATCGCCTTTCTTATGCTACTTTCAATTCACCATTCCACCACGCTTCCCTCTCCACGCTGCCTCAGACGATAGACGCTGTTCAGGTCATGCATATCTGTTTCAAACACTGCGTCTTTTATGAATGCCTCCGCTTGTTTCAACAATCAAATGTGACACTTCTGGGATTTTTAGATAAACTTAGAGCAATGCTTGGAAATCTACCTACACTGCTTAATTTTTACTCACAACTGAAACTTGAACTCAATCTCTTTTTTTAACTTTCGCGTCACTTTTTTACCCCCTTTTCAAAGAGGAGTTACGCTAACAATTTTGTTTGTGCAAAAAAAAATTCCGACCCTAGGCGAACTTGATTTAGACTTGCATTTAATGTTTTAGCGTCAAGTTGGAGCAAAGCAACATGATACTGTAAAATGCTAGAGATGAACAGCAACAAAGAAAAGGAACATCATGGATAGCAGTATAACATCCAAGAGTAAAGTAGCCACTCACGGCTGCGAATGCATCCGGCCAAAATAACGACATGGAACAGAGTAAAATACTTTTCTTCGAAACTCATGGATACGTACTTTTAAAAACTGCTTTGCTAATTGTCTTAATCCGTAATTTCCAATGCGCGACGAAAAAGTAACTGCATCTAAGTTGAAGCAAATGAGGTAAGTATGAATGAGCTATGAGCTGACTCTATGCACGCATGACATGTTTGTAATCTCATCCGTGCACGGGAAAATATATTCGTCTTATCTCGCATTCAAAGCGGATAATTTTCCTCTCTTCAAGCGGTAAAAGGGGGGAAGGAAGTGACAAAAGTCTTAAAATTAAGCTAAACAGAGGTGTATACCTCACACTATGCATTATAAACAAATCTGAAAGCGAGCTGAATAGTGGAATCCATAGAAAAGAAACGTGTAATGACAATACAATCAGAAGAACAAGTAACATGGCAATCATGGTTTACCAGGGCCCGCATATCTTAGAAATTTGGTGGATATCATTCCCATTCTAAGCCTGCGCAAACCTGTATTTTCACTTCAAAATCAAAAGTCCCAAATCCAGTGACAATGAAGGTCCTGGTTTCAGGAAGTCAATTTGGTATGCGCAGCTAATGTGGTTCCATCGGCGCATAATAGTTAACAGATCTACTTTTATAGTAAAATTGAATAAAAATAAAATATTACCAGCTAAGCCTACTCCGATTATTCGTTTGATATCCTCGTTCTCCGGTTCCAACTTAGGCAAAGAGCTTGTTTCCTTCCTAAGTTGTCAATACTGGTCTCCTTCTTCGGTTCAAAAAAAGCTTACTGTGCAGAGAAGAAAACAAGGCAGTTCACTTGTGTACCGTTTTGTTTCACCTTATTGATAACATCGATTGCTCTAGAAATCGTTTGATTGAAAGTATAAGGCATGAAGGTGGACGAAGTGTACACAACCAAGGTGATGTGGGCGCAACTTACTTAGTGGTATTCAGAGCATCTGAGACATTAGTATAATCCATTTTGTCTAAATCTTTCAGAAAAGCGCTGAATGTGTTCTCCATCTTGCTGAGGTCTGGAGCCTCCGGAAAAGCAGTGTATCCATAGGCCCATACTCCTCCAATTGCTGTTATTCTCTTATCCTCAAAGAACTCATATGCCAGCTCAGCAATGAACTCTGTTTCCTAAACAAATTTCATCATGAACAAATGAACTTTCTGCCGCAATGTTTATACAAGTTTGTAGCAGAGTAAAATCTCTTACAGTTACTTAATTTTAAAAGCTATAATCTTAAAGCCATATGTTACCCACTTTGTCATAAATTTCCGTGTTATTTCCGAAATTGTATAAATCACCAACAAATAAGCATCTGTACTCTTCTTTGGGTCCTTGAAAAATTCTTATTGCAGGATATGGTTCACATTTAAACTGCAGTCTTTGTTTGCTGGCATACCTGAAGCCGTCGTCGTAGGTTCCGTCGCAACTGTAAAACATGATTTTAGACAAACCAATTATGTAACTGCTTTTGCTTCATTAAGAGTAAACTTGTGCTCAGAAGAATGCGTTATGAAATCAGGTCCTCAAA